CACTACCAGAGGACACACACACACAGAGCACACACTCAGAGCACACACACAGAGTACACACACGCACAGAGTACACACACGCACAGCACACACACACACACACCGAACACACAGACAAAGAAAAAACACACACACACACACACACACACACACACACACACACACACACACACACACACACACACACACACACCTGGGGTGGGGCAGGAGAAAGATTGCTGATTTTTCTTCCTTATCTTTGCTCTTACAGAAGACTAATATTCAAGCCAAATATAATGAAGATAGAAAAATATGTTTCAATATCCAAAATATTCCCAAAGTAGTTAGCAGACAATGTAACCTAATGATGAAATCCTAGAAAGCTCCATTCCTTCTTTAAAAAAATACCTCAAACCCTAGCTTTCCTTCTATTAATTACCCCTTTTGCCTGTCCATCACCTTCAGGAAGATTCTCTTTGATTTGGGTTGAAAGAAATCAGTTCAGAAAACAAAACAATTCCCAGGCTACCTTCACATCTACCTGAAATAATAGTAGTGACTTATTGAATAATTAGACAAGGAAATACTGAAAATACTGATAGATCTTTTCAGACACCGAGAAACAACTTTGCATGACACCAATGTCTCTAAATTATGGTCTCCTTCATTAATCTAATCTAAATAAATATTAACAATGATTTCACCACTAGGTTACTGTTGAATTATGAAAACGTTTGAGTAGCATTTGTCTTGTGACTAGTACATATTAGCAATCTTTAATGTATGGGCAACAAAGAAACAATGTTGAGTGTCATTTGTCTATAAAGATGGAAAGAACACAAATTGGATGCAATTATTATAAATTTGCCTGGAGAGAATAAAGGAGCAGCCATTTGAAGAAACTCAAAAGAGGGTCGTAAAAATTATAGAAGATAAGAAAATAAAATGTGGATTGATGAGAGGAAACCATTATTTGTCCTCTGTGTGGTAGCTGTCATTTGTATCTCTTAACTCTGATTATAGGGAACAATAATAATAATTCATTATTCTAGTTGTAAGATATAAGATAGGCATGCCTAAAATAGATTTTACTGTAGTCCCAACACTCTGAAGGATTTGCTGATATAGTTACCTAGGAAAATACAAAACTGGAAAATTACATACAGTCTGAAGTTTGATGGAGTTATGGAGAATATGATCCAAGATCCAAAATGTAAAGTCACTCAGCAAAATGTCAGCACTCATAAGAGAACATGGTTTCATAGTCATCTTTGACTATCTGCCATATAAACAAAAAGTGCCAACAGGCATCAACTCCCTATCACTATTCTTTTGTATGATACTCATTATTATCATGGATAAATGCTATTTGACAAACTTTGACAATGATGTTTTGAATACAGATGTGGTTCTCATCCTTTTGGAGTTTATATTCTAGTAGGACAAATGGCTATCATAGAATTAACTGTAGATTGAACATGTGACAAGGGAAATAGTCTACATTATTTTGGGAGATTACTCAATCTTAGGGTGTAGGTAAAGCTTGTAACTGGGTAAATGATTCGTTACATGAAATTTGAAATGTAAACTATCTTTGGGCTGGAATGAGACTGAAAATGTTGGTTAACTCCCATAGCACCTAGACATGCTATGCAGTCTATGCTATGGGAAATAAGGCACTGGCAGTATTCACTAGCTGGGAACCCCAGTGCAAGAGTTGCTCACTGGTGCAATAGTTGTACAACTGTTACAGAATAACCAAAAGCCTTTAATTTGGATTTGAGGCCCACTGCACAGGAGGGAATGCATGCCTGGTGCTCTAAACTTGGCTAAAACCCTATTTCTGGGGGTATAATATACCTTGAGGTACCTCATTACTTTTGTTTGCCAATATTGATACAACAGTATAAATGTTCATGTTTAGACTCATAGACAAATGCACCACTCCTGCCCTAAATTAGAGGAGCTTCTTTTTGCAGTGAATGGGCCCGAATTCAGAGCCAGGGCTACACAAGATTGTTAGACTAAATGATGGATGAGTGCTCAGGTTTTTTTTAAAATTTTTATTTAAATAACATTTTTCATTTGTTTTACCTGGCAACCAGTTTCTCCTCCCTGCTCTCCTCCTGTCCACTCCCTTTTCCCATCTACTCCACCCCTACCCACCCCTTCTCCATCTCCATTCAGAAAGGATCAGCCTCTATGGGATTCCACAAAGCATGGCACATCAAGTTGAGGCAGGATGGAACTCCTCCCCTTATGTCAAGGCACAGTGAGGTAATCCAGCATGGGAAACATGTTACTAAAAGCACAGTGCTCAGTTCTTAATGGTACATTTTTACCACATCTTTTAACATGTAAAGAAGAAGCAAGTAAAGCAATGTGAGATCCAGAAGGTATGGAGATAGCAAATGCTGAAATTGGGTTATGATACAGCCACTGCATTCATGATCTCTCAGCAGCTTCAGCAGACTGAGCTGGAGCAAGATTGGACATGCCAATAGACAATCTTGAATCTACTAGCAACGTATGGGACTCTATCCCATACGTTGTATGGGATGCTACACTACAGACAACTGATAGATTCTGGAGCAAATAAAGTCATCTTCAGTGTGTACCAGTGAGCCTCCCAGGCTCAGTGGATAATACCAAACCTGTAGCCCCACAGATGACCCTGGTTAAAATCAGTGGGTCACCAAACGAAATAGAAAGACATATGATATGAATAAAGGGGGAGGACCTGTAAAGGGGAGGAGAATGATAGAAGGTAGAAAGATAAGAAGGGCGAGTGGGAGTAAATAGAATGTACTACAT